TTTGGATTGATGATGGAATGTGCTAATTTAAGACTACCTGTACATGGAAATATTCTCATAAACACTTGACAAATAAACACTCAGTGACAAAGTGCTTTCTCTTACCCTTTATAACAGTTTCTAAAATACATAGCAGGCTTTGGGCTTTAATGACCAGGCTTTGGGCTAACTTTGTGATGGCCAATTCTAACTGAAAAACATGAAGTAAGATTTAAGTAATGATTAATTTTTCAATTAATTGTTGTTCTCTTTCATTTTAAAATGTCTAAGTATTATTTACTGTTTTAATACGATACTTATTTGATTTTTAAAAAATATTTGTACACTGTTTTTAGCCTCTAAACGTTGTCCTTTTAATGTTGCAAGCCACATTGGGTCCTTTTAAGGAAAAGGGTGGGATAAAAATACTTTAAATAAATAAAATAAAATATCATGGCTTGAATAGGACTTGGAACCCACACATTTTATTTCCAAATTAGTACATGCAGGATTCAGCTGTTTCATGAAATGCTAAGCATAGGTAAAGGTAAAGGTTCCCCGTGACAATTTGTCCAGTTGTGTCCAACTCTAGGGGGCGGTGCTCGTCTCCATTTCTAACCCATAGAGCTAGCGTTTGTCCAAAGACAATTTTCCGTGGTCACGTGGCCAGCACAACTAGACATGGAACACCGTTACCTTCCCACCGTGGTGGTACCTATTTATCTACTCACATTCTTTTGCATTTTGCATGCTTTCGAACTGCTAGGTTGGCGGGAGCTGGGAGAAGTGACGGGGGCTCATTCCGTCACATGGATTCCATCTTACGACTGCAGGTCTTCTGATCTTGCAGCACAGAGCCTTCAGTGGTTTAACCCACAGTGCCACCACGTTCCCCCCTTACTTGGGAATAAATCTCAATGTACTTATTAAGTCTTATTCACTAATATATATGCTTAGAGTGTCCTTATTTATGATTCTGTTTTAGGAGTCATTCTCACCTTTTCTTTTTTTGCTATGGCCATGAACACAATATGAAAGAAATATAGGCCAAATCAAGACTATGTAAGTCTCATAAGGTGGTGTGTGAAGAACTGTTTCCACCTGTGCCCCTCTTCAAATGTGCCAGGCCCTTCATTGAGAATGGTTGTTCTAGAGCAGTGGTCCCCAACCTTTTTAACTCCACGGGAAAAGCGGGGCAACCCCCCACATTCGCGTGAAGGAGCGGGTCCATGCATACTCGTGCACGTGTGAAGGAGCAGGGGGCATTTGCACAGGGGACACACACTCACATGCATACGTGAAGGGCAGGGAGGCACTCAGGGGCACTTGCAAAGGGGTGGGGGGCACTAGTGCATGCACACGTGAAGGGGCTGTGCAGGGGATGGGAGTGTGTGCAGGGGTGGGAGATCTGGTACCGGACTGGCACCAGGTTGTGGACCTCTTGTGACTACATCCAGTTTAGTTGGCTGGGATGTTTCGATGCCAGAGTTCATACCGGTCCCACAATCTGATGTGGTTCACTATGTGTCCACAAACCGTCCTTCCTTTAATATTGCCTTCTTTTCTTGCTGATCTTTGGCTTTCCTTTTATGGTTTGCTGTCAAGTTTTGGGACTGTTTAAAGGGTTGTACAGTGGTAGCAATGAAGGTACAGGTTGCCAAAGGTTTCCATCCACATACAAACATGCACACATATGATGGGAATCGTCTCATCTGCTGGAGTTCATCAGGGGTTGGTATACCTCTATAAGGCAGCAGTCATAAGCACAGCTGATGTAGAACAAAAGAAACAGGGCAGAACAATGAAGGACTTGTATGGAAATGTAGGGTTTTATCAAAGTACAGGAAGGGACTGGCCCTGACCAGCAGCTGACTTGCAGCCATCCAGGAACACTCCCATGTGTGGACTGCTCTACCCACTAGGTAACATGGCTACTTTTTGTGCTGCTCATATTTTGTGGTTCCCAGGACCTTTACAGTACTTGGGGCTATGTTAAACAACCGAAGAGGATACTAAGCCTGACCAGCAGCAACCCAGGAGCGCCCCATTACTCTCTTGCTGACTCTTCCATCTACCAATACCATGGCCATTTGTGATTTGCACATATTTCTCTGGCCACCAGGACCACTGCAGTGACTCAGGGCTTCCTTAAACTACAGGAAGAGACTGCAGTCACCCTCAAAAACTCCCATGACTCCCTTCTGACTGCTCCACCCACTAGATCATGTGGCTGCTTCTTAGATTCAATTCAATCCACAGCTGCTGGCCATCAGCATAGAGGAGGGAGACTTTGCTGCAATATTCTCTCACCCCAGTTGCCAGGGGAAGGAATGGAGTCTCTCTCTTCATGACATACAAATGGTAGGGGGTGGGGGGATACTTTTTTTATCTTCAGGTTTTAGCACACATGTATCTGCATTGCCCAAGGCCAGAATGCAGAATAATCACACCTGGCCTTGTCAGGTGTCTTTTTATTGCTCGTCTTCCCATCTCGCTACGCACTATGGCAGTCAGGAACTTTTTCCAGCAATATCCATATTGCTTGCCTAAATCATGTAGTCCTGAAAGGTGGATAAGGGGGCATTATTTTACACTGGTCTAAAACAGCCAACTTCCCCTGCAGTCCTAAAATTGTAATTAACAAAGAAATGTATTTATTTACAGGTACACAAATATAACACATATACAGCAAGGGGCAGGTTAACCTCACCATACCTTTGCTTGTATTTACATAAGAAATCTTTAGAGAACAGAAAATAAAGAACCCAAAGAAAGAAGGGGGGGGAGGCATGCATTGGTGGTTAGGTATTTAATCACCTCCATCTGCCACTTTTTCCAGAATACTCACTCTTCTCTTCTAAATTGTGTGCAATGAAAAGATAATTGTTGGCTTTTAAATTCTAAGCACCAGTTCCAATCCTACTTTGCCAGCCACACACAGAAGTTACATTCCTTTGCCAATGCAGCAGAGCATGGCAGGCCCTCAAAATAACCAGTTCTATATGTACTGCTTGCAAGGGACTATTATGTCACATGTACTGTGTATGTACTTGTATGTGTACAAGGCTTCCAGCTTCACCTCAAGGGACTCAATGTGCTTCACCACATACTCCAAAGATACAGTGGGGTGTTGACTTGAGAACTTAATCCGTACTGGAAGGCGGTTCTCAAGTCAAAAAATCTGTAGGTCAAGTCTCCATTGACCTACAGTGCATTGAAAACCGATTAATCCCGTAACAGGCCGTTTTTGTTCCATTTTGGTTTTTTTCTGGTCTGTAAGTCAATTCTCAGGCTGCAAGTCAAACCTAAATTTTGCGGCCAGAGAAGTCTGTAACTCAAAAAGTCTGTAAGTCAAGCCGTCTGTAAGTCAAGGGTCCACTGTATGGTTTCAGTTGAAACCAAGATGAATGGTAGTCCTGGCCTCCTGGGCTGGATAACAGTGAGAAGCCCAGCTTGGCCCTATGGACTCTGACTGCAGCCTCAAGAGCATCCAGGCAGCAGACAAAATCCTCCATGGACATTCTCTGCCCTAAGAAATTCATGTTCTTCTGGGCAAAAAGTGACACAGAAAGCTGACTGTGTCCTGTGGCCACTGGGAGGGTGTGGGGTGATCTTGTGAGAGCCAGGAAGCAGAAAAGCATTGGTACTGCTGTATGATTGGCAACTGTGCACTTACAAGGGCATCCTGTACCTAGAGGGAACACAAGGTTTGGGTCCCAGACCCATCAGCATGTGGCAAATACAAGAGGAATGAGGACAAAGGGTCAACATTGGCTAGAACATGTAGGCACAGTAGGCATTGTTGTACTATGATGAGTGTCAGCATTAGTCTCAGCAGGGGTAGGATGCACCCCTTTTGGTTCCTCCTCCCTAAATAGGCCCTTCTATGCACAGGCCAGTAAGAGACAGATTTCATTGGTTGCACATGGACTACAGTATCCATACTGTATATAAACCTTTGAAGGCATTGAGGGTGATGTTCCTTTTTGGAGTGCCAAACTATTTTTGGGGTGGTTCATTGTTACAATGCTTTTTTTAATGATGTACTTACTATAGGTCTCTACTTGTCCTTGCCATTGGACTGTGCAGTAGGAGTGGAGGCTTGAGCAAAGATGGGGGCTGGGGGAGACAAGAGCCTGCTGTCTGTTTTTTGTCTTCCAGATGAATGTTTACAACAGTACCCTAAAACAACATAAGCCATAAATTACTGCATGCAGACATACCACACGGCCAAGAGCCAAGGATTATTTAGAAGGAGTGTCCTTCTCACTCCCAAAACGACAATTATTAAGGGAGGGACCCCTCACTCACCATTTGCCAAAATAACAAAGCGAGGGAATGGGGCTTTGAAGAAAGTCTGCTTCTCCATGATGTTCAATTCATTTAACAACTTTTGATGTTATCTTGTCTTACATTGTTGACATATGTGCCCCCTTTTTTGGCCATTATTCAATTTTTTTCCTCATACCCCTAAATGCCTTGGTTCATACCCCTGGGGTTACATGTACAGTACCCTAGTTTGGGAACCACCGTTGTATTCAGTCTTCCTTTTTTTCCTGCTGCCCTCCACCTTTTCCAACTTTATTGTCTTTTCCAGGGGATCCTGGCTTCTCAGGATGTGCCCTAAGTAGGACAGCTTCAGCTTCAACATTTGTGCCTCCAGAGATAGTGTACTGTATATTAAGCACATTGTGGGTGAGCTTAAATTCTGAAACGGGACTGATGTAGCCGGACTGATGTAGCGAGAAGCAGCAGCAAGGTAAAATCTGCTCTACTGCAAATATCCACAGCACACCTTCAGTGGTGAGGAAAACGCACTCTGAACATGCCCAGAGACAAGCCTGCCTACTCAGTATCACTGGATACGCTCTCGGGGGACTAAGCCCAACCATTAAGCAAGGAGGGGGGAAAAAGAATAAAAACAAGAGGTCGAGGCCTGACAGAATGGAAGACGTCCGAAATTCATCCCCTCACCCGTCGTTCTCCTTCTCCTCATCGCCTCAGTCAGCGCCCGCTCGCTGCTGCGGGCGGAGCCACCCAGAGTAGCAAGCAGGGCTGGATAGCCAGCCAGCCAGCCAGCCTGCCTACTAGGCCTCGGAGCTCCTCCCCGGTTCAGCCCGGAGACTCTCCGGGCGGAGAGAGTTCCGCCTTTCTCTCCTCCCTTTCCCGGTTGCTTCCGCTTGCCTGGGTCGCTCCTGTGGCGGCGGCAAGAGCAAGCAGCATGGCGGCCGTGGAGCCCCGAGTGTGCGAGACGGCCGGTTGCAGCAGCGAGGCCAAGCTGCAGTGCCCCACCTGCATCAAGCTAGGCATCCAGGGCTCCTATTTCTGCTCGCAGGTAAGTAAGCCCCGAAGCGGGCGGGGCGCCTTTGGGCCTGCCAGAAGAGGAGGAGGAGGAGAAGCAGCAGCAAGCGTGGTGTAGCTCGTTGGTTTCTTCGCCTTCTCGGGCAGTCGCCCGTCAGGCTACCGTTGCTGCTGCTGCTGCAAGGCTCTGCCCTTAAGCCTGCGTCCGGTTCCTAGTCCGGTCAGAAAAGCAGCTGCCGGTCTTTTTCCCGGACAGCCCTGGGAGGGCCTGCGAAAGAGCCCGAGGCTCCGAGGGGGCGGCGGCAGGTGTGACTCAGGGCGTGTGAAGGGGTTGCTGGGCCTTCCTTCCCTCTTTGCAGCCAGAGCACGCGTTACTCGAAAGTAAGCGCGGCTGATTTCAAAGCTGGTCCCTCCCGCGTCCCCTTGCGCTGCGATTTTTTAACCTCTCTTTTTTGGTATGTTTTGGGGTTGTTGTTGTTTTGTGACCCGGGCTCTCTCCGTGTTCCCCTCAAGTTTGCTTCCTTTGCTTCCTTCTTGTCCCTGAGAGAAGGTTTGAAGCCTCAAAACGCTTTACTGCCCCCATGCACCACTTTTTACAGAGTTGGTTTCCTCTGCTCAAGCGGTGCCCTTTTAGGATCTTTTTTTTAAAACAAGTCGAAATCGTCTGTAGGGGAAAAATATGTCTGGACTCCCCTTTTACAACAGTAAGAAAAATGTGCATGACAAGAAGCTATTTACAGTACGTATTTCGTTGCCCTTCTACTTACAAGGAAGCTAGAGAAAGGCCGCAGTGGTCCTCATTTTGTGTTTCGAAACTCAACAGTTATTTTATCTATCACTCCCCCCCCCACCCTTTTATCAAGATCCACAGGACGTTTTCAGAGAAGGAAGGGGGCTGTGTTTTTCCTGTCTGGCTAGAAGGGATTGTTTTGATATTTCAGGCATTTTAATACATTTTGCGATGAATTGTGCCTGAGTTTTTCCCTAAACCCTGTTGAGAGAAATACAATTTTAGTGATACTGTTTGCCCAAAACAGATTTCTGTCTCAGCCCTGATACTCTTTAATTTTTCACCTCAGTTAGCCCTACTAGAACACTGTCTTAATCTAAAAGGGTAACTCAGATCATGTGTAGAGTTCATTGCCTTCTCTGTTCAGTTGCCACAAACTCCCACAGATTCAGTATCTAGTCAGTTTTGAATTGTGGCACCTTCCTTTTATAGAACTGGCTGGATAGCTCAGTGAGTTAGGTATCTGGCTGCAGAGCCAGAGGTTGGGATTTAATTCTCCACTGTGTTTCCCCTGAGAAGAGCCAGCCTGTGTAATCCAGAGCAGGCTGCACAGTTCCAGGGTGACCCAGAAGAAGGGAATGATAAACCATCTCTGTGTATTTTCTACCTAGAAAGCCTTGGAAAGGGCGGCCATGAGTCAGAACTGTCTTGAAGGCATGCTATTATGATTATTCCTTTAATAGGTGGGGGCAGAGGTTTTCTAACCTGTACTGATACTATGTCAACAGTGTCTTCCTTAAGGAGCATTTTATCGCTGACTGCTTTTTTAAAAATGGTGGGTGGAGCAGAATCTTTCAAATAATATTTTAAAATAGCTTAAGCGTTGTACAGACACTCAGTGCTTGATTTTTGTAACTTGCTGTGTTGAAGGCCTGATTCAGATGTCTTTTTGTCGCATACATTCATAGGCTTTGCAGATTTTAGTTCCTCGAGGCAAAATATTTTGGAATGAATGTAAGTGAACCAGCTAAATACCTGGAGTAGTTTGATGTCCATGAACTTTCAGTGGGAGTGTGTAAAATTAAAATTACAGTTATGTTTAGAAGAGATGTAAAATAAGGTTTTGAAAGAGATAAATACTAGAGGTTAGGAGGCAAAAATTACTTAACAGGGATCTAGAAATGTATTGCAGATGCTTTCAACTATCTTTCAATCTTTATATTCCAGTTTTATACAATCCTTGAGTCAAGGAAGTCTTAAAATGATGGCTTTTATGAACTGGTGTTGCCATTCCAGTTTCCCTGGCTGCCCAAAGTTCAGAATGGTTAAGGAGCCAGCATCTAATATTGGATATCTGTGATGCAACAGGTAGATGATAGGAATCTGCCTTTCATGCCTATCCAGAGATAGATAAATTCTTCACCAGAATCCCCCAAAGGCAAGTGTGAGCTGGCGCGAGAGGGGTAGCCCTCTCGCAGGAATGCTGTCCCTCCCCCTGACAGCAGAGAAAGACATATAGACCTTGCCTATCTCACCTTCCAAGAGATCAGAACAGCGAGGGACAGATACATGGGAAGTAGAGGGAGAATTAACGGTTGAAAGAACAGCAGGGAAAACGGCGGGAGTAGAGTGGAAGAAGAGAGTGGAGATAGAGGCGGGAACAGCAGATATAAAAAGGAGGGAAGAACAATTGCCACCAGGTTGAGAGTGAGTCTGGATGGAGGACCCTTGGACCGGAGCATGGGAAAGATTGAGGGTCCCTAAGACCAGGTTGAGAGTGGGTCTGGATGGAGGACCCTTGGACTGGAGCATGGGAAAGATTGAGGGTCCCTAAGGAGGAGGCGGACTGCAGGAAAAGGAGGGAGATCCTTCTGAGACCCTCTTACTGGGGAGAAGCAGAAGCCAGAGAGTGGTGGAGAAAACTAAGAGAGGAGAAAGAGAGAGCAGAGAGAGAAACTGGAATGGAGGGTGAGCAAAATGAGGAGGAAGGGATACAGGGAGGACCCTGGATGACCCACACACCCGTTGGATGTTTCATGTGGGTGGATGATGGGGACCTCGACGCCATGCCCCTGTTGGAAAGTGAAGCAGGACAGAGACGACGCCATGCCCCTGTTGGAAAATGAAGCAGGACAGACAGTGAACCTCAACTTATTGGTGGACTGGCCGGATCCATGGAACTCTGGTGAAGGAAACTCATTCCTAGAAGTGAACCTGAACTTATTGGTGGACTGGCCAGATCCATGGAACTCTGGTGAAGGAAACTCATTCCTAGATGAAGAATGGAAGCCCCTGATTGACCCGTTGTCAGAAGGAAGAAAATTGGAACAATTTTGTTGACATCGGTTATTTGTTGAACACACCAATAAACATCACACCTGTTTCTAAATTACAAAAATCTCCTGATTTATTTGAATGAAAGAAGGAGCCTAAAGTTGAACCCTCACACCAAGACAGTATGGTGTAGATGTAAGAAAGAGTCATGGTAATAAAATAAGAACATAGGGATATAGGAAGCTGCTTTATTATAGGTTGTAATTCTTGCACAATGTGTTCAGTATTATCTAATACATGACAGTGGCTCTCAGGGTTCTTGGACAGAGTTCTTTTCCAATGCTTGCTGATTATTAGAATGAGATATTCTTATTCTATTTTTAATTTGTTTATTATTTTGAAGAAAAGTATTTAATTCATATTCCACCTTTCTCCCAATACAATGGTGTCTCGCATTCAGCGAAATCGCTATAGAACAAAAACATTGTAATGCAAAATTAAAAAGCCCATAGAAACGCATTAAAACCTGATTAATGTGTTCCTAGGGGCTTGAAACTCACCGTCCAGCGAAGATCCTCCATAGCGCGGCCATTTTTGCTGCCTGTGCAGCAAGGAATCCGTCCCAGAAAAGAGCGGGGAGCCATGTTTTTTACCAGGCTGTCATTTTGAAACCACCGATCAGCTGGCCGAAAATCATCGCTTTGCGAGAATCGGTTTCCGAAGCAGGGAACCGATCATCGCAAAGCGAAATTCCCCCATAAGAAACATTGTTTTGCAATCGCTTTTGCAATCGCAAAATCTTCAACGTAAAGTGATTTTGTCGTAAAACGGAGCGCTCATAATACGAGGCACCACTGTATAGGGAACGAAGGCAGTTTATCCTTCCTGTGGTTCTGACTTGTATGTGCAAGCCTAGATTACCTTCTATACTATTTGTTATGTAGAATACTTTGCATTTAGTGGGTTCCAAGATCAAAACTACTGGCCCCTTGCCTGGGGAATGTACAGTATGAATGTAGATAGCATCCATGTGTGGATGAACAATAAGCCAGAATTGCTGAGAATACTGATCAAATTCTCATCACACCTCTTTGGCCCCCTCCCCCCGCCATCCGCGATAACAGCTAAACCAGCAAAAACCTAAAGAGAATATTTTAAAAACCCATTTCTGTTAAACCTGAACTGAACTGTTGGCTTTTTGATCCCCATTGGAAAACCAGTGTCAGACAGTAGATGATTTGGCACTCTGGTTTAATAGGGGAGTGACAAAGTAGGAGTCTCTGTTTAACTATAAGAGAGCTTATTACTTTTGACATGTGAGCCAGAATGACCAATGGTTGGAAGTTAAGGGTATTGTACAGTAGTTTAAAATATCTGGGGATGCACCAAATTACCCAACCCTGTTTAGTTTCTGTGCTGGGGAAGGACTGCCAGGCAGTTTGCACCAAAATAACACTTGTGAACAAAAAGCCATAATTTTACACAGTTCATGGGTTCTTTGTTCTGTCTGAATGAGGCTGGAACATGAGAAAACAGAGGTTGTCCATGTGTTTTTCAAGTTGAGATCATAAATGATTTTATAATCTTCAAACAAAGCACTTAAAATGAATAGCAAACTTAATTTGAGTAGCAATAACTGGTTTTAATGAGCAAGCTGGCTTTGCTGTTTATTCAGTTCATTCTGTGTCTCTTTGAGGTCATTGTCTTACTTATTACTCTCAGCCAATGAATGCCTATATCTTAAATCCAAGTGTCCCAGGCTCAGTCCAAACCTGCTTCCATCTATCAGCAGTGGTTCCAGATAATCAAAGGAATTCCACCAGAAACCCTGACCCCAAGCTTTTTAGGGCTTTAATGCATATTGACTTTGTCCTATAAACAAATCAGTCCCAGGTGGGGATACAAGGTACTGAAATAATGGACAAAATACTGTTGCTCAAATTTGTATCTGGTACAGCTTGGCACAACTAGATTCAGGCACCAGAAAAATTTAATTTCCACTAAGTAAAAGCTTCCTATTATTTTTTTTAGATTCCAAGTCTCTCTTGGGCTCTTTTTTTGCTTGGGGAAACCATTGTGAGCCAGGGGACAGGGGAGCCCATTGAAGGAAAAAATTACTGCTGGATCAGCAATGGTGATCCTGATCCCAAAGCCTTCCCCAAGGTAAAAGGGAGCCTGAGGGAGCCTTAGAACCTAAAATTAGGGGATAAGAAGTCTTTAATTAGTGGAGAAAAGCCATTTCTAGTGCCTCATCTGAGTTGAGCTGGGAGCAGTTACCCAACAGGATTTTGCCTTACATAATTCTACTGTCAAATCTCACATAGCAGTTTGATTACACTGTTTGGGACCAACTTACGTTTCCATGCCATTCCAAAAGCTACCATTGTGATAATGCAAGCAAGGGATTGCTAGAACATGTTGTTGTCTAGTCATTAAGTTGTGTCTGACTCTTCGTGACCCCATGGACTAGAGCAGTGGTTCTTAACGTGGGCGATAATGCCCCCCAGGGGGCGATTTCATTTTTCAGGGGGGCAGTAGAACGAAAAGGGGCGG